CAATAATATTAACAAAAAAATGTTAAAATCTTTTTTAAGGGTTTTTCGGGTCGATCAGAGGCCGACCGGACTAAGTACTAAAAACTCTTTAGCTCGAAAGGCCCGATTTTCGCTGGACATAAATTTTTAATTTCGACTACGCTGTTTTTCAGAACTAGGCCGGGCCAGCCCGCAGGCTTTGGCCCTAATTGACATTCCTATATTTGATTATCCGTTGTAAGACTATTATTATTTTATTATTAAATAATTTTGATTGATTAATTATAATTATATTTTTCTTTCTTTTGAGATCCAATTTGAATATTTTAAATGTTAAATATTTAAAATGAGAACATTTATCTATTCATTTATTTATGAAAATTTGTATTATTCTAAAAATTTTTTTTAACAAAGTTTATTTTTTGTCACATAAATTCATTTTTAGCATAACTAATACTTATAAAAAATATTTAACAATAATAAAATTAATCATCACCGTTTCTACAATTTTTTTTTTGTGAACAATTAGATTTTAACAGCCAAAGTTTTTATAGTCAAAATGGTTACAGTCAAAATCTTTACAACCAAAGTCTCTATACCCAATCCGTCCAAAAAAAAAAGTTTCTATAGCCAAAGTAACCGTCGTTATTAGTTGGACTTTTTATTTTTTTTTCTTCTTAATGTAGCCCAAAATATTCAATTAACGCTAAACATGTTCCATTTTAAAAATCTACCGTGAAATTCAGCAACCTATATATGAAACATGTACCAAAATCATTCCTACCAAATTTACATGTAAATTTTTGTAATGTCTTTTTTTTTTGTCAACAACTTTATTGGATTGGCTCAGATGAGCCAATGTGGAGGAATATTGTTTATATAAGTAGATAGTTGCGGTAGGATACGAACATTTCGTGCCAGTTTATCCGCCTCCACATTCAAATTTCTAGAAATTAACGATAAAAAGAAAGAATCAAAATCTTCCTTATCACTCTGAACAGTGCCGTGCCCAGATTTATGGGGGCTTAAGGCGAAGCTGAAATTAGGATTTTCCCCTAATACTTTTTTTAATTGAATTAATTTTGAAACGATATAAATTATTGAAAACATAAAAGTAATTTTTTTTTTTTTTGGGCAACAGATACTTGATTTCATTAGATCATAACAAGTACAAGGTGTAAACAAACATCCAACACATGGTTGGGAACATCAAAGATAGGAACTACTATTTACGATAATTCGATGGAAGATCCAAACATCGGAGACAAGAACTTGAGAGTAGCTTGCCACAAGCGAGAGAATGGCGAGTCGAAAACAATTCCACGAAGAGTACTTCGGGAGATTGATAATTAGTCACGGTCCTATAGAGACATAGTGACGTTGAAAAGAGGTTCTTAACCTTGGGTATCACCGGCTTGATACACGCAGCTTTTAGGAAGATGGTTAAGATACAATGGTTCCAAAACAAGGTTCTCTCTATTAAAGAGGATGATTTTATCATAGATTTCTTAGACAGATTAAAAGGATTAGCATCACTAAGAATATCTTCCACCAGGGTTACTAAAGGATACTTAGCTAACCTAACTATCAATGTCACCACAAAGTGAGATTGGAGTCCTTGACCAATTTCATCAAAAGTAGAAGACGTCAAAAGATTAGGGATTGCCAAAGAATTAGAAGAAACAGACCTGGGCCAGGGAGCTAATTGGGCTAGACCAATTAAGTCATACATAGGCCGAGATAGAAATCTTAGTGGGCTTGGATTTGAGAGGCCCATCTGGGTAATTAGGGTTTTGTCATTTGTTGTTCTCCCCTCCGTCGAAGCAAGCGGCTGCCCAGAAGAGGAGATCCGACTTAACACCGCCATGTCGGTGATGTTTGCTGTCGCCGGAGACCGGTAGTCCGGGACTAAACGTTGAACAAATTTGGGAGCAGATCTGGAACTTCCGAAGTTGTGAGCGATAGAAATCACCAACTTTGTCGTTGAAAATTTATTGGAGAGCCAAGGAAACACCATCCAGAAGAAAACTTCGCCGTGCGCCGTCGACGACTCCACTAGGCATGGCGCATCAAACTAGAAATTAACGCTAAAGAGAAATAATCAAACTCTTCCTTATCACTCGGAACAGTGTCGTGCCTAGATTTATGGGGGCTTAAGGCGAAGCTGAAATTAGAGTTTTCCCCTAATATTTTTTTTTAATGAATTAATTTTGAAACGATATAAATTATTGAAAACATAAAAGTAATCTAAGTATCTAACTAAAACATAATTTTTTCTTCTTTTTTGATTAAATTTCTTCATCAAATTCTCATAATCTAGGTTCCTAACTAGTTTTTTTTTTTGTTATGAATATGATAGCTAGCACCAGATTGTGATTTTACAAACGCCTCATCTCTGTCTTTCTTATGTCTTTTTTATGCTCCAATTGGATACAATATCAAAAACATGTTTTGAAAGATTTAAAAAAAATATTTATCAAATCATCACAAGCATAATTCATAAACAAAGCTACTATAAAAGATGAACTAGTATATGTTAAGTTAATAAAGAGAACTAGATATTAACCCCTGGTACACCGCGGATCTATATTTTCCCTAAATAAAAAAATGATTTTTTTAGAATGATCTATAGATATATGGTAAACCGCATGTCAATATTTTATAACTAAAAAATCAAAATTTAAGTTGTATTTGTTTTATTTAGTGTTTAAGATTGTATAATTGTATTTCGATCGCTAATTTTAGGATTTTACCCGTAATATACCATCCCGTATTAATATCGATCTAAATCCGTCCCACTATATAACCCCGTCCCGTAAAATTAAACATCATTTTTGTAATTTTTTTTATAAAGTTCAAATATTTCTAATATTTGAAACTTCATAAAAGTTTTAATATGACCCAAACTTCATAATTGTATTTTGATTGTTATATCTAGGATTTCACCCGTAGTATACCGTCTCGTATTAATATCTTTTATAAATATTTATAATGTTTAAACTACTTATAAATTCTTATAAAATTCAAATATTTATAATATTTGAAACTTCATAAAAGTTATAATATTATAAATAATTAAAACGTTTAATAAAGTTAGACTTTTTTAAGAGTTTAAATAATTATAATATTTAATTTTTTAATAAATTTTAAATATTTGGATCCACATTTATACTATATACTATAGAAATTAGAGTTTATGAGTTTAATAAGTATACTTTAATAAGAATTATTACAGTAATAAAATTTACAATCAATTATATATGTCTTACAATTTGGATGTATGAAATTGTTGATCTCATTTGTAAGCATGAGTGGAATTCAAAACATTTGGGTTATAGTTTGTATTTTCGTTTTTTATTTTTTCTTTTAAGTTTTTTAAAAATCAATGCTATCAAACTGTAGTTATCTTATATATATATATTAAGATTATCATTAAACATGAAGATTTACCTAGAAAAAATAGGGTGAATAAAAAAAACTAACCATATAAAAGAATCTGACGTAAATTTAAAGCATATGCTCTTGATAATGGCAATCATCAATGGGTTGCTCATCTTGTATAGGATTATCTGCGCAAGACATCAAATGTTTATTAAATTCATGAATCAGAAAAATGAAAGTTCATATAACAAATAGAGATTGGAATGGGTAAGAAGAGGTATTTGTTTGATGAGTCTTCTAATCGAGTAAAACTGTGGTATTTATAGGGTAGGTAGGCATCTAGGTTTATTGTTAAGGTAGTTTGATAATATCTTGGAGAGAAAGTAGAAAATCAAAGATATTATATACAACGAAAGTTTAGGATATGTTTAAGGAAAGATTAGGAAATCGTTATATAACAAAATTTATTTGAAAAAGATTATAAATGATTTGGTTTTGCAGAGAATCTTACAAAAAAGCTAAGCAACCATTTAAAAGGAATAGAGCCGATTAATGTGGTAATTAGTTTAAGAAATCACATTAAACCGAATTAAAAAAATAATTATAGTCATAACTTTGTTTCTTAAAATCAAATGTTAAGAAAAGTATCGAAGAGTATATAATTATGGTATCATCGTTGAGATTTTCTTGGGCGGGAATTATGGATTCCATTAGAGAAGGGAACCATATAATTGAAAGAATTTAATTAGCCATAATTATGTTTTAAAAATATTTTATTGCATAATATAAAGAGAATATAGATGATATATGGTAATTAGTTAAGATGGCGTAAATATTCGAAAATCATCTCAAGATAAAGAGTAACTAGGATATGACCCGCGGTACACCGCGGGTTAATTATTTGATTTTTTTAATCTTTTTTATAAATAGATAAATTTGTAGTATATAATAGTTTTTGTTGTACACCGCGTATCACATGCGTTGTAACTAAAAAGTAGAAATTGTAAGTTGCATTTGTTTTGTTTAGTGTTAAAGATTGTATAACTGTATTTTTATTTGTTAATTCTAGGATTTCACCCGTGGTATACTGTCTCATATTAATATCAACCCAAACCCGTCCCACCATATAATTCCGTCCCGTGAAATTACATATTTTGTTATTTTTCTTTTTAATAACTATTTAAAAGACATATAATTCGAGTCAATTTAAAAGTTTGCTTTGACATAGTTTCCGTAATATATATATTTTTTAATTAGTGTGTATTTTTGGACCAACCCGTAAAAACAATTTATAATTGTATCATAAAATACTAAAGAAATATATATATAAGCATAATATTAATTCAAAGTTTTGTAAATGGATATTTGCATCTAATATATAGGTTATGATAATAATAATAATATAGATTGTATATGTGGGTTAAAAATATTTAATTTTTGATGCATCATTTGTTTCTAAATAAAACACACAAACAAACAAAGTTTAAAACAATGCAAACCCAATAAACAAAACCGAAGCCCATATATCCCAAGACAGCAAAACCCAATTTGATTAAAATTTTTATTATATTTTAATATTTTGTAAAAGAAATTAAAAGGAAAAGACATACTTGGAATAGACCAAAAAAATGACCAACGTTTACTCGAGAAAAAAAAATTCGATGGCTGGTACAACAAATCGAGAAAATTGTCGATTTCTCTCCGAGCCAATTCAAGATGGATTCAGATGATCAATTTTTATTTTATTTTCCGATCATGTAATCGAATCTACAAGATGGCCGGTGAACATGCTCCGATTTGAAACATGTTTCTTCTAAATCCCTAGGTAAGATCTTCTCCTTCATCTCAGACTCCATTTTCGAATTTAGGGTTCTTAATTTTCTTCTTATCGATCCTTCAAAGTCTTGAACTCCGATTTTGTTTCACAATAGATTGATCAACACCAGCAGCTCATAGACTTTGCCGATTACGACGATCCCACATCCGAGAAATTGGGTTTCTGTGTAAAAGCTAAAAGACGTGGAATCGATTTCTTATTTTTTGTAGATATAGAATTATTCGAATTGAAATCAAAGTTAACTGTATCTAGATCTAGATTGATTTAGGCAATCAAGAAAGAACATGTTGCATCTCTTAATATCGAGTTATGGTTCGGATTGTGAAACCATGGATCAAGTTTGGTGATGCAGAAAAAAAAACATAAACTTAGGTTCTTTAAATCTGCGAACGATGCAATAATCTGAAACAATAAGGTTTTGCTAACTGATATAATATATAAATATAAGAGTTCATTATCATCTTGGGTACATAATTCATATAGTCATACTTGAATATAAAACTAACAATTGTTTTGCATTATAGGTGATTACTGCCACGGATATACATATTAACTCACGTACCGGCACTAATGGCTTATCTCCCAAGAGCAGACAAAGGTTAGTGAAGACATATAGTATATAATAACAGTTAGTACTTTAACATTAACCATCGAGATAGATTTAACATTGTTGTTTGGATCTTATATGAGAGCATAATGAAAATAGAATTCTAAAAATTAAAAGAAAATGAACAAAACATGAAAGTATTATAGTGTCAACAATTAGAAAAAATTATCATTTAGATGGTAATCCATTGTATCACTTATAATGCTTGGAGTCGTTGTACCATCAATGATCCTCTTAACAATTTGAAAAAGTAAAAGTGATAATCTATTTTATCAAAAAGAAAGGGAAAATAAATTGGTAAACTAATATATTCATAGTGTAGATTATGATAATGATTGCTTATGGGGTGGGGTGAATTCTGTATTACTTAAGGTGAAAAACCCTAGATTCTGGTGTGATGTCTGCAAAAAAATCAAAGAAAATTAAACAAAACAAACCAATAAAATTGCAAACGTCAACGCTAAAACATAACACCAATTCACTCCTCAATCTTGACCTTAAGACCAAGCAACTTCTTTGAGTCGACCTTCTTCTCCGTAATTTTCACATCTTCCTTCTCCTCACCATCATTTTGTATTGTTTTCATGTATGCAGGATCCTCAATTGAAACACGCCATGCAAACTTGCAAGGTAAAACATCTCTATAAGTATGCAAAAGAAATATCTTGCTAGCACTACAAAAAAAGTGAACATTGATAGCAGTTCACTATAGCACGGTTTCACTAATTGCTATGAATGATTGTTTTGGAATTTTGATAGTATGAAATAGCATTTAATAAACGCTATAATAGAAAATCAATAAGCGGGAAGCTAAAATCGCTTATTCCGCCAATATTTAGCCCAAAAAATTAGAAAGCCGCGAACACTTAAGCATTTTTCCTTTTTTCTCAAAGACCTAGACAAAATCTCTCAGACTCACTCACTAACGAATCTCGTCCCAGCCTCACACGAACCTCATCGCTTCTCCTCCTCCAGCTTCCATTCTCCCGAACAAACTCACCCAAACCCTAACTCCCCTCCAATGGCCCCTCCTCCGCTGGTGCCACCACCACCAAACCTAATTGACTCAACCAAAACCCCACATCTCCGTCTCTCAATCTCGATCTATCACTCACGATGAAGTTTCAATTTACCGTGGAGGAGAATCGCCTTGGGAACGGAGAAGATGAATTCAAGTAGAGAGAGGAATGATTCGAAGAGTTTAAGATCGGGAAGTAAAATGGACATGGTAATGGTAGTGATGGACGAAATACTTCGATTTGGTGACTCTTCTTCTTCTTCGTCTTCATCCTCGTAAAATGGTAAGTCATCTCAATTGGTTACCTTAGGGTCTTAAATTTGGAAATTGGAAGCTTAAAAAAAACAAACAGGTTCTCTTAATTAGGAGAAATCTGTTAACTGTAAGCTTGAAATCGAAAAAGAGAACTCTTTATATCTAGAGATGGAGCTCGTGTGTGAAACATATCAGTTTTAAGGCGCTTGAGGGTCTGTTGACAGGTCACTGTTCTTGTAACTTAGGCTGAAAAGGTTTGTCTACATGTTGATTTGTTTTTGTTCTTTGTCGTTGTGCCCTTATGAATTGACTATGAAGCTTGATACTTTGATTGTCAAGTGTTTGTTTAAATTCCCAAGAGAGCATTGATACTTTGATTTTGGAATAAAGATACGTTCTTTCTTATTTGGTAATACTTTGTTTATACTATGGAATGCTTCTTCTTCCTCCTTTTCTTACAAGTGCTCTTGTTCAAACACTTAATTTCTGAAACTTTTTTAATTGTTTCTCCTCAGTGGCTATGGAATAAACATAACAACTTTGTCCTAGAAGCTTTTAGGGAAAATCAAAGCCGGTAAAGTAAACATATAGCCTTGGTTTCTTAAAGCCTTTTTAATTGTCTTTTGAAATAGTTTTTGATTATGTAGAGCTGATAATCCTTGGATTCAATTTTTATTATTCACTATTAGAGAAAAGGAGGAAGAAGACGTGGGAAAGGTGAGGTTTTGTTTTGGTCGATCTGTTGACACATGTGGTGTTTAAATTTGGGATTTTATTAGGTTACTACTTGTTAGCAGTAAAGGTTTGATTAGTTGCTAACTTTAAGAGCATCAATTTTCTAAGTTACTCAGTTCTAAATTTTTTGGCTTGACCTTTCTTTGTCAATAACTATTGTATTTTTTCTTTTAAGGACAATTCAACATGGCTTGACCTTTCTTTGTCAATAACTATTGTATTTTTTCTTTTAAGGACAATTCAACATGGCTTGAGCTTTTTGATCACTAGAGTGTGATAAGTGGGAAGAGATAGGAATAACACCAGCCTTAGCACCAAGCTTGAAGCTTTACCAAAGACTTCTAGATTTGGGATACAAAGTTAGCTCTTTGCTTTGAGAATTTATCTTTGAGTTTTTTCTTTTCTTTTTTCTCTTTGATTCCTATCAATTGAGTGGGTGTAAATTTGCAGCTTGGTCTAGAAGATATCTTCCCAGATTTTGGGTCATACGTTCTTAATTTTCAGCAAGAACAAGAACAAGTCTTCAACAATTAATGAAGCACCATTTGGAGTTTTGACGCAAGAACCAGAACAGTTGTGTATCGTTGGAGTGCAAAGTGGTTGTGCGATTGTGTAGGAAGAAGAAGTAGAGATCAATTATGGATAAGCTCATGGAGGCAGTAAGCTTTAGAAAGAAAATTTGTTTGGCCTAGACATAGTTAGTTGATTGTGTTTGGTAGAATTTGTGATTGTCGATAGGGTGCTTCTCTTTGTCCCTTATTTCATAAGTTAGTACTCTTGTTGTGGAAGAGTCGTAGTTGTTTTTATATAAGATTTAGTTTGGATTAGTCTTTTGTAAGACGTGTAATGTTTTATTAAGGATTTTCTATGAAATTAAAATATATGTTCAATATATATCTTTGACCAAATTTAATTTATATAAAAACATATTAAATATAAAATGCAAAAAAGTGTCAATTTAATTAAAAATAAATAGCATCGATAAAATGCTACAACATAATATATCACGACATAAATAATGAGCTACAATTGAATCGAATATAGCATTTAATTAACGTTATAGTAGAACATCCTATAATAGCATTTCAAAAAATGCTATCGTAGGTGAAAAACCTACCATAGCTGCCGATGTCATAGCATTTGTGGATTCGCTATGTTATATGTATTATAGCATATTTTTCGCGCTAACGATGAACATATTTCTTGTAGTGTAGATAAAAATTTAGAGGGCTCGTTTATAATGAGGAAAATTGTGGCTGTGGGAATTGTTGGGTAGGAGATGGTTATTTATAGAGGAGATTCTTAGGCTAAGGTTTTGGTAGCGTCGGTTTCAGGATATATTGGAGAGCAAGCCAAAAAATCATAGATACGAATCAAAAATTAGAATGATCCATGCATGTTTAAGGGAAGATTCGAAATCATTATATAACAAAAACAATATTCTTGTTAATAGAATGTTCTAGATGTTTTGGTTTAGGCAATATTCTGATATTTGAATATCTTGAGAATATGCTTGTTGTTAGTTTACAAATCTAAACAAAATTAAAGCGCAATTGTTAATGTGGTTTCCATTTTTGTAGGGAAATCTTGCCAAAAAGATATACTATTAACGATTGACGAAAATTAAGGAAAATCCAAACTCAAGATTTGCGGACTACCACAGATAGTTTTTTTAGGAAAGTCTCAATTAATTGGGAAGTTGCAAAAGTGGAAAACGATAATATTTCCCCGAGATTCTTGCAATTATTTTTGGGAAGTCTCATTTTATGGATCCGTAATCAAAATTTGCGGGTCATGAGTCGGGTCAAAATCAACAGATTTCCGGGTCAAATTTTAAAAATACCCGACCCGATTAGGTACCCCAAAAACTGCTGCAAAAATGTATAGTAGATATAGCCTATTAATATGGGAAGAAGTTAAGGAATAAGGAAACATAAATATATGTGTAATTATCTATATTAATAACGTTTTTTTGGTTAGAGATATGTAGAATTAAATGATAATTTGGTATTAATTAAATGCTATCAAATATCTCGGAGATTTTATTTTAGAAACTAATCGTGGACTAAGCAGAGATTTTTGCAAGATTCGTAAACGGAAAATCTTTAATGCTACTATTGATAAAAAGGAATAGAACCAATTAATGTGGGAAGTAGTTAAGGAAATAAGATTAAAACGAATTGTATGTTTAATTTAGTCTTAAATGTCGTTTTTATTACAATATTCCTTAAATCTCTTATTCTAGATCTGAATAGGTTTAAACCGGGTAAAACCCGGATCCAAATGATTAAAAGCAAATAAAACCTGTAAAAATGTATATGTAGATATGAGTTTAATACCATTAAATTAATCAAAGATTTGTAATCATAATTGGAAACGAATAATGCAGTAAATGCGATTTAGTAATGTTGTAAAGAATATGCCATTTATGTAGAATGATTGTTGCGATTAGTTTCCAATTAGTTTTATTTTTGGGATTATAGTATCTCAAATTTTAAACTAATTTAGATTTTATTGTTTTGTTTACATTAATACGAAAATAATTTGTTCACCCACATCATAAAATATTACCAATATATATATATATATATATATATATATATATATATTACGTAATATTAAATAAAAGATTATACAACTATTTTCATTTGATGGTGTAGACAAATTATTATTAATATTTATGTAACTTAATTACAAAAATAATTTAGAAAAATAACAAATATTACTTTTTATAACAAAACAAAATATTATTCGTAAAAACAATATTTATTATAAAAAATATTTTGAGAATCCTTTAGAAATTTAATATTAGATATTCAAATATATCAAAAACATAATTACGGATTATGTGAAGATTAGGATATATAATCTTCAAATAAACATATTTTATTATGATTTCCTTATGAATGTATATATTAATTGTTATTTTGATTTTAAATTTATTGCAATTTAAATGGGGAATTGCCTATATTTAATCTGTTATTGTAAAAGAAAAATGATGTAGCTTATTATTGGAGTATTTACACAAATTTATTAACATAATATATATATATATATATATACTGTTAAAAAATAAATACATTTTTCTTTATAATTTCATAATATATTTATTGTTAAAATCTGGACATTTATTATGAGCATAAATATGAAAAACGATTTTCCATTAAAATTGGCTATTTATTAGGGTCATTAATATGAAAGATTATTTACCATTAAAATAGGTAACTTCTTTGTAATTAAAGAAACATTAAACGGAATAAGTAGATGAATTAAAGACAACATGGCTTCATTTATCAGTTTGTAATTAAGACAACATCCCTAAAATTGCTTATCCAAGATCCGAACAGACTAAAATCGGGTCAAACCCGGATCCAAAAGAATTAAAGCAAAAAAGTACTGCTAAAATGTATATGTAGATAAACAAAAGCATTAAAAATCAGGTTTGTCACTTTTAAGAGAAATAAAAATTTCTTTAAGAAAGAAGTAAGGGTGGGGAATCGAACCAAGGTTGTTCAGGTAAACATGGTCCCTCGTAACCATTCGGGCACACAATTTTTTTGATTTGGAGGCCCTAAAAAACTTATTTATTTTTGGGGGCCTGAAACAAATGCCTTTTTATTTACTCATAGGCATGGTTCTGGCTCTGAATCGCCTTCAAGTAAGTCGCGAACGCTGACCACTCTTGTGGGGAAGACACTACCAGATCGGAGCAGTATGTAAGTAAAACCTTCCTTAAGATCAAACAGTCGCATAGTGAATGCATTCAAAGGTTTTAACAAAAAAACAAAAAAAGACAAACTCAAAGACCAATGGGCCAATTCTCTCGTTAAGCATAGATCCTCTCAGCCCATTAACCCAAAGAATAGAGTTTCTTCATATTCGAAACTTAAAAAAAATGAATTGAACCAAAAAAAAATAAAAAAAAAAAATCAAACACGAGCCCTAAAATTTGGGTGATTTTATTCAATTTGTCCATTATGATTCAGAATCTTTTCAATTTGGTCATGAATTAGAAGTTTTCAATGGGTAGTTCGAAAAATTCGATCTTTTAGACTAATTTTTTGGAAATGGAAAAGAAGCTTGCGAGGAGAAGAAGGCTAGTGTTGGTTCCAGCTCCAGCTCAAGGACATATAAATCCAATGATGCAACTCGCAAAAGCACTTCACTTAAAAGGTTTCTCTATTACAGTTGCTCAAACCAAGTTCAACTACTTAAACCCTTCAAGTGATTTGTCTGATTTTCAGTTTGTAACCATCCCAGAGAACTTACCAGTGTCTGATCTTAAGAATCTTGGACCAGGACGGTTTTTGATTAAGCTAGCTAAAGAGTGTTATGTTAGCTTTAAAGAGTTGTTAGGTCAGTTATTGGTTAATGAAGAGATCGCTTGTGTTATCTACGATGAGTTCATGTACTTTGTTGAAGCAGCAGTTGAAGAGTTTAAGCTTCGTAATGTTATTTTAAGTACTACAAGTGCAACAGCTTTTGTTTGTCGCTTTGTTATGTGCAAACTCTATGCAAAAGATGGTTTGGCTCAACTTAAAGGTATATATAATTCTGCTATCGTTTTAAAACTCCAATTCATGTGTTTTGCGTTTAAAAAGGATTGGTTTTGCAGAAGAGGAGTTAGTACCGGAGTTATATCCTATACGGTACAAAGATCTACCAAGTTCGGTATTTGCTTCTGTCGAATGTTCGGTGGAGTTGTTTAAGAATACATGTTATAAAGGGACAGCTTCCTCTGTGATAATCAACACAGTGAGGTGTCTAGAGATCTCATCTTTTGAGTGGCTTCAACGAGAACTAGATATTCCGGTGTATCCTATAGGCCCTCTTCACATGGCGGTTTCTGCTCCGCGTACGAGTCTTTTAGAAGAGAATGAGAGCTGCATAGAATGGCTGAACAAACAAAAGCCGAGCTCGGTGATATACATAAGCTTGGGAAGCTTTACTATGATGGAAACTAAAGAAGTGTTGGAGATGGCTTCGGGGTTGGATAGTAGTAACCAACACTTCTTGTGGGTGATTCGACCAGGATCCGTTAGTGGTTCTGAAATCTCTGAGGAAGAGTTGTTGAAGAAGATGGTAACTACAGATCGAGGTTACATAGTGAAATGGGCACCGCAGAAGCAAGTGCTTGCTCATTCCGCGGTTAGAGCGTTTTGGAGTCATTGCGGATGGAATTCGACTCTAGAAAGCCTCGGTGAAGGAGTTCCAATGATATGTAGACCTTTTACAACTGATCAAAAGGGGAATGCAAGGTACTTGGAATGTGTATGGAAAGTAGGGATTCAAGTAGAGGGTAAGCTAGAGAGAAGCGCCGTCGAAAAAGCTGTGAAGAGGTTAATGGTCGATGAAGAAGGAGAAGAGATGAAGAGAAGAGCTTTAAGTTTGAAAGAGAAACTCAAAGACTCTGTTTTAGCTCAAGGCTCTTCACATAACTCACTAGATGACTTCATCAAGACTCTGTAAACTCATGAATTATTAATGGGCCAAATATATATTTGTAAGCTCTAATGGGCCCGTTTACTTGAAAGAATCGCTAAAATTGAATCGAACACGAACACAAACCCTAAAAATTTGGGGATTTTTCGATTTGAGCACAATTTTGAAATTGGATGAAGAAGAAATGGACAAGAACAATGAAGAGCCAAGAATCGCACCAGAACCTAATCGTTGGTACAATATTACGTTAGGACCATCACTACTCAACAACAATCACTCATACTCTCCCAAATTCTGCACTCTACGATGTAAGTAACAATTCTCTTAATGGGTTTGTTTTGTTTTCGAGAATGAATTTAGAAATTCGAAAACTTTCTGGAATTTTTTTTGGTTTATGTTGAATTTTGCTTGCAGATGAATTTAAACCGGCGTCAATTGATGATACTAAACCGGGATTGTTACATA